ATATAATTGCAAACACTCTGCACTGGGGAGGAGGGTTTCGGAATGTCTGGGAAGCCATTGCACCATAAAGGCTCAGCATTTCACCGAATCATACCGAGCTTCATGTGTCAAGGTGGAGATTTCACAAGGGGAAATGGCACTGCTGGAGACTCAATCTATGGCACGAAATTTGCAGATGAGAATTTCATGCTCAAACATACCGAACCTGGTTGTTTGTCAATGGCCAATGCTGGACCAAACACCTATGGTTCCCAATTCTTTACTTGCACTGAGAAGACTCCATGGCCTGATGGAAAGCATGTTGTGTTTGGTAAAGTAGTGGATGGATAAGCGTTGTCAAGGAGATGGAAAAAGCTGGCTCAGACAGTGGGAGAACTTTGCAACCAGTTGTGATCGAAGACTGTGGTCAGCCAAAAGATAATTGGAGAAGCTGGGAATGATGAAGCACTGTATTGTTCACATCAAAAGATAATTGGAGATACTTTGCTGGACCTAAATCCTTCACATCAAAGGACTTAGACAATTGTTCTTTCAACCTGTAAACCATACTAGCATCTTATCCTACAATCAATATATCATCAACATATAATAATAAGATAATGAAGTTACCATTAGAGAATTGTTTAACATACACACAAGAATCCACTGTTGTTCTTTTATAGCTAAGACTCACCATAAAAGAATCAAACTTCTTCTACCACTGTTACGAAGCTTGTTTCAAGTCATACAAGCTTTTCTTCAATTTACAAACTAAGTGCTCTTTCCCTTTCACTTCAAAACCCTCAAGCTGATTCATATAAATGTCTTCCTTCTAATCACCATGCAAAAATACAGTTTAACATCAAGTTGCTCAAGCTCAAGATTCAAACTAGCTGTTAATCCCAGTACCACTCGAATAGAACTCATCTTTACAACTGAAGCAAAAATTTCATCAAAATCGATGCATGGTTTTTAAAAAAAACCTTTTACTATCAATCGAGCTTTGTACCTCACTAGTTTGTCACCATTCTTTTTTAACTTGAATACCCATTTATTTTTTAATGGCCTCTTCCCTGTTGAAAGTTTAACAAGATCATAAGTACCATTCTTTCATAATTACTCCATCTCTTCTTTCATTGCTTTTAACCAGTGCTCTATATCCAGAGTTGCCTACACATCTTAGAAGCTTTCTGGCTCTCATTCACTGGTAACTAAAATAAAATCTGAACTTGGATACATGGTAGATGGTCTGCGCTCTCTAGTAGATCTCTTAGGCTGAGACTCTACATCACTTGATGCCGAAGGTAGCTCCGCCTGCTCAACACTCTCAGGTAGAGAGAATTGCTCCCTCTGCTCAAAACTAATTGCATCTAGCTCATCACCAACTATGGCTGGCTCATTCATATCCCTAAGTTCTATTTCTTACTCATTTTCACCATCTGTGACTCTTTCCTGTGGAATCCTGTCGGTGTTGAAACATCACACTCAACAGTAACTCATGTAGTCTTCTCATTTTTCTCAAGGTTTGTTATGGTTTTTTTTTTTTGAAAGACCACATCTCTGCTTTTGATTATCTTTTTCTTTACTGGATCCCATATCTTGTAACCAAATTCTTCATCACCATATCCTATAAACACACACTGTGTGGCTTTACTGTCAAGCTTTGATCTCTACTCTTTTAACACATGCATGAATGCTTTACACCCAAAAACTTTTAAGTGAGAGTATGAAATATCTTTTTCTGTCCACACTCTTTCTGAAATGTCAAAGCCTAAAGGAACTGATGGTGACCTGTTAAGTAAATAACAAGCTATGTTGACTGTTTCACCTCAAAATGGTTTTGGTAATTTTACCATCCTTAACATACATTTGACTTTTTTTATAATGGTACAATTCATTTTTTCAGCTATACTATTATGCTGCGGTGTTCTAGGTTCTGTTATCTTATGCCTGATCCTATGCTTTGAACAATACTCTTCAAAGCCTTTAGATGTGTATTCCCTACCATTATCAATTCAAATACACTTCAAGGGTAATTCTGTCATCCTTTCAACCATGGCATAAAATTTTTAAAAATACTACAGTACCTGACTTTTGTATTTTAACATATACACCCAAGTCTTACGTAAAGCATTATCAATAAAAGTAATAAAATATCTGCTACCACCTAATGACTTAACCTTAATGGGACCACATACGTCAAATAAATTAAATCTAATCAAATTTATTTTCTTAAAACTTTTGAAAAAATGTAATTCTTGTTTCTTATCAATTACCAAATAATAATCTAAGAATCAAAGAATACTTTGTCAAAAAGGATTAGGAGACTTCCTTTAATTGTATCTTTTCATCATTGTCAGCCCTTTGTCAAAGTACTGAAGATTTTATCCGATGGCATTTTCAAGGTGATTATACTCTGAATACATTGTGGCCCTGTTAAACAGGCTTGATCCATTTGACTTTTTCAATTTTTTGTGATTTCAAAGTAGATACATTAATAGAAAGCAAACTTATCTCCAATCTGAATGTGTCTAAACTCTCTCAACATTTTCAATATGTAATTCAAACAGTTGTACAAGAATATCACTTCAATTTCAACAATCTTTGTTTAACACATTAAAATTATCTTGAACCAAAACAAAGTCTTCTGTTTTGTAAGTTGTAAACAACTCTCTCTTAAGAACACAATGATATATCGCTCATGTGTCAACTATCCACTCAATGTCGGGATCACTAATATGATTACAATCATCATGTGTACAAATCAAAGTAACTGAATCACTATCTGAATTCATTACTGTAACATTACCATCATCTGAACTCTTGACTTTCTCATCTTTTTGCTCTTGTTTCAAGATTTTATAGTTTCCTTTTATATGACCCATCTTACCACAATAGAAACACTTCACTTTACCTTTAGACTTGGATCTATGTTTAGACTTACCATGGTATTTTGAGTCCTGACCTCTGTGATGTTTCTATCCCTGTTTTCTGTGACCAGAGCTTGATTCCCAGGATCTACATCTTTTCATTTTGCTTCTTCATTAAGCATATTGTCCTTTACCATCTCTAATGTTACCTTATAATCAGGAGCAGAATTAAGAACAGTTACAACTAGAGTATTCGAGCTGTCTGGTAATAAACCCAAAAGAAATAACGCCTTCATTTCATCATCCATCTTAAGCTCTATAGTAGTCATCCGATTACATATATCTTGAAAATCACTTAAGTGCTCTGTAACAGATCGTCCATCCCTGTATTGTAAAGTTGTAAGTTTTTTAACAAGCATAACTTTATTCATACATATTTTTCTCTCATACAATACTGCCAATTTTTTCCAAACAATGTGAGCATTTGACTTCTGCGCTACATGATGAAACACGTTGATATCAATCCATTTTTTGATTGTAGCTAGCGTCTTTCTACCTAGCTTCTTTCAGCTTTCATCTTTCATATCTGCTAGTTTAACCAAATCACTCAATACTAACTCATACAAATCTTTACAGTATAGATGATCTTCCATCATAGGCTTCTAAATTGAATAATTCGATGCTGTCAATTTTATCATAGAACCTGTATCACCCTCCATGATCTCAAACAAAATTTATTTCGATCATGGGTTGCTTCTGTATCGATGTCTCAAAATAACCCTCGCTCTAATATAACTTGTTGCACCTAAAGCAATAATCACAACAATACAAAAGCAATAGACAACAATCAATAATAAAAAACACAGGAAAGATAAAGCATACCAAGATTTACGTGAAAAATCCTTCAGTGTAGAGATAAAATATCACGGACCACCAAAAAAATCTTCACTATCAAATAATAGGTATACAAAGTTCTTCTCTAGCTAAAACTAGAGCTAATCAACAATTAGAGAAGCAATTGGAGAAATCTCACTAAATAAGTAACTCAACAAATACACCCTGGATTTATTCCTAGAGAGCTTCAAACCCGATCTTCACCGTTCAAAATGTAAAACTCTGAATCATAACCTCCTGACAAGGTTTCAACTTAATCGAACCACGGATCAACTTTCGTTCAACCAACTCTCCCTTCTCCTTTTTCTCTCTGCTTCTTTTGGCTTTTCTTCTTTCTCTACTTGGTTTTCGACACACCCTTAAAACAACCCCACCTCTTTTTTATTAAGTAGTTAGGGCTCTGTGTAAAATGAAAGATCAAGGCCCATGGCCTTTACTTAGTCCAAAACTACTTACATGAGGTTGGACCCCATTTTCCTAACAGTTTGAGCCTGTCAAGATTCTAATACCCAATTTGCTTGGAGGTAGAAGGCAAAACAAAACTAGCCCAACACTTTTATATTTAAATATATATCGTTTAAATTATACAACTAGAGTTTATATACAATTTAATACGAAATAATAAAATTATAATTACTTAAATTAATATCGTTCAATTATGCAAAAAAATTATTACATTTTTTATTACATCAGTTGTAGATTCAATCAATCAAAATACAACATGTCATTAAAATTTATAAATTCTCTCCTTATAATTTTAAAAGAATTTTTTTTCATGGCTTATATGAGGGGTTAGTTCCATTGCTTGTTGGATATAAAAAAAGAAAAGTTTGGTGATACTATATGAATCATACTAAGTACAATCAAATCGAGCATTGAAATCTTGTTTTAAAAGTTTAAATTTTAATTTAATTGATTCATATAAATATTTTTAAAATATGATATTTGGTAAATTTAAAATTCAAATCTTAATATCTGTAATTATGAATTGTGAAAATTAGACTAATATTTGGTGATTAAAGTTGTATTGAAAGTTAACGGATAAAAAATAATTATGTTAACTATGAAAGATAAACTGAAATTTTAATTTGCAAAATTAAGCATTTTACTCTCATAGATTTTTATATAAAACCACTTTTTAAATTTGAATTAATATTCTTGTTTCGACAAATTTCTTAATTTTAGGATCCATACATATATTAAAAAAAGTAAGTAACTATAGCAAAAAAAAAAGAAAAGCAAAAAGAGTCTTAGCTTCTCTAGATTTTTTGTAGTTTTTTTTTTCTATATTTTCATTTTTATTTATATTTTTTCTCTTTTCTAAGACTTAAAGAGTTAATTGTTTGGCCGTGGAACTTACTTCATAGATTTGGTGGACTTGACTTACTAGTCAAGTCTTTTTTGTTCTTCTTTCTAGAATTGTAGAATTTAAATGGACTATAAATGCTTTCCGTGGAAAATTCAAGTTGGAAATTGGATTTTCTGGAAATTTTTAACTCCATATACTTGGTTGACTTGACTTGACTTGACCTCCTTGTCAAGTTCTTTTGATGTTCTTTCTACACGCCGAATTTCATTCATACATATGAATGCTTTCTGTGGAAAATTCAAGTTGGAAATTTAAATTGGAGACTTCGAAGAAATTTCCTAATGCTTGATGTGGTAGAAAACATTTTTCTTTAACTTTATATATTAGGTGTTGGTAGCAATGATCAGTACGCAACCATGAAAGCAGTTACAATTTCCTTGTTTGGGTTTCTTCTTGTCATCGCAGCGGCTATTATTAGCTTTTGTGATGGGAATTCCAAAGTGCTTTGCATTGGAAGTGAGGGGCAAGCCCTTTTGACGTTCAAGCAAGACCTCATTGATCGATCAAACAGGCTATCTTCTTGGGTTGAAGGTGAGGATTGCTGTGAATGGCATGGTGTTTTCTGCAATAGCCTGACTGGCCATGTTAAAGAGCTGCATTTGGGGCTTCTTTCAACTAGTCCTGATGCTTATGCACCGGCTGCTGAATGGGATGCTTACTTTCGATCAAAGTTAGGAGGCAAAATAAATCCATCTTTGGTCGATTTGAAACATCTCAGTTTCCTAGACTTAAGTAATAATGAATTTGGAGGCCTGGCAATTCCCGAATTCATTGGTTCGATGAAGAGTTTGACGTATCTTAACCTCTCTTGGGCAAATTTCGTAGGAGCAATTCCCCATAATCTTGGAAATCTCTCAAAACTGCATTATCTTGATCTTGGAATCAATTCCTTATTTGAAGCTCAAACTCTTCAATGGGTTTCTGGTCTTTCATCTCTGCAGTATCTTGGTTTGAGCCTTGCAAATCTTAGTAAAGCAACTGATTGGCTGCAGGCAACACACAATCTTCCTTCTTTGGTGGAGTTACACTTGTCAGGATGCTCTCTAAATAATGGTCCATCTCCAATCAGTGTTAATTACACATCTCTTGCTGTTCTTGATCTTTCTCAAAACATGTTGTCTTCGGTGACATGGATATTCAATCTTCGTAGTCTTGTGTCCATTGATCTTAGCTCTAGTGGAGTTGAAGGTATGATTCCCAGTGGCTTTCAAAACATGTCTTCTCTCAAATTTCTTGATCTTAGTTGGAATTCATTCTCTTCATCATCGACACTCAACTGGTTGTCTGATTTAAACCAACTTCAATTCCTTAGTCTTAACAGTGTCGGCCTGCAAGGTAATTTTCAAGTGCCATTGGAAACTTAAGCTCTCTTACTCATCTTGATTTTTCAAATAACCAGCTTGAGATTGAACCCAAATATTTGGAAAGTCTTTGCAATATGAGGGAGATGGATTTGTCAAATAATACAATTAATCATGAGGTCTCAGAAATCATAGAGAGTTTGTCTAGATGTAGTTTGGATCGATTAGAGTCATTAAATATTGCATTTAACAAACTTTCTGGCCATTTACCTAATCAACTTGGCCAATTTAAAACTTTAGCATACCTTTACCTTAACCGAAACTCCATTTCTGGTCCCATTCCATTCTCAATAGGGGAGTTGTCATCATTGAAAGTTCTTGATATTTCATACAATCGATTGAATGCAACTCTTCCTCAAATTTTAGGACAACTTGGGAATTTGGAACATTTAGACGTTAGCAATAATATGTTGGAAGGAAATATATCAGAAACGCACTTTTCTAATCTCACGATATTGAGATCTTTTTGGGCATCTAACAACATGTTAACGTTTATACCAAACCCAAGTTGGATTCCTCCTTTTCACTGTGAAAGTATTGGACTAGGTAACTGGCGTCTTGGTCGGCAATTTCCTCAGTGGCTACAATTCCAAAGGAACATGTATAGTTTAGACATCTCCCATGCTGGAATTTCAGGTGTCATTCCCACTTGGTTTTGGAACCTTTCGACTTCATTTGAATATCTAAACCTTTCCCATAACCAATTAGTCGGGGAGTTTTCATATTTACCGATAAGTTGGATTGCTGACTTGAGTTCCAACCTATTCACAGGTCCATTGCCACAGGCAATATTCTCAGATTTGGGGGATTTATTTTTGTCCAAGAACTTTTTTTCAGGATCACTTTTTAATTTTCTTTGTAATTCCTCAAATAACCTGAAAGTTTTGAACATTCTTCACGTTGAATCAAATCTTCTGTCAGGTGAAATTCCAGATTGTTGGGAAAATATGCCAATGTTGGAAGTCCTAAATTTAGGAAACAACAGTCTAACTGGGAAAATTCCTAGATCCTTGGGATCTATGCGTCTTATTGAGTCATTAAGCCTTCGTAACAATAATCTGTTTGGAGAAGTACCATCCATATTGCAGCATTTAGTTAATATGCTTGTTCTTGATCTTAGTGAAAATCAATTGACGGGAAGTATTCCAGCATGGATTGGAGACAAGCTCTCAAACCTTGTGATTCTAAACCTCCGTTCAAATAACTTTCAAGACTATATTCCTGATCAGATTTGTGCTCTTAATTCTCTTCATGTCTTGGATCTTGGTTATAACAACATTTCAGGAGCTATTCCAAAATGTTTTAGTAACCTAAGTGCCATGGCCACAACCCTCAACCCACACGTGGCTAATTGGTTCTCGAGATTCTACCCTGACAACTCGTTTTATTTTGGTGCATTATTGGTGATGAAAGGAAGAGTGGATGAATACAGTACCACACTCGGACTTGTTACCGGCATAGACCTTTCAGTTAACAGTCTCACAGGAGAGATCCCCAAAGAACTTGGTTATCTTATGGGACTGCTGTCATTAAATTTGTCAGGGAATCTCCTAACTGGAAAGATACCAGAGACCATTGGTAATATGGAGATGTTGGAATCTCTTGACTTGTCCATGAACCGACTCCATGGTGAAATCCCTTCAAGTTTTTCCAATTTGAATTTCTTGAATCACTTCAACTTGTCCTACAACAACTTGACAGGACAAATCCCATCAAGCACCCAACTCCAAAGCTTTGACAAGTCTTCTTACATTGGCAATCATCTTTGCGGACCTCCAGTCACTAAAAATTGCAACAAAAAGGGCGAAGCACCTGATGGTAAAAATGGAGGTAGTAGTGGAGGAAAGAAAACATCAGAGGTGAATTGGCTTTATGTAAGCATAGTGCTTGGATTTGCGATGGGGTTTTGGGGAGTAGTGGCTCCCCTTGTTTTAATCAGGTCTTGGAGGTTTGCTTATTATAAAAAATTGGAGCAAATTGGTGACAAGCTATGCGTGTTTTGGGCTACTATTGGTATGTAATTATTTGTAATGGCAGCTCATGTCGGTGTGTTTGGTAATGTAATAATTTGATTTGCATGCTCTTGACTTTATCCATGTATTCTGATTTGAAAGTGGTATTCCATGCTATAATTTATTAAAATGAAATAAAATTATGTGTGTTAATGTATTAGACTCATAAATATGTGTTCGAGTTTTATTCAATATGAGTTAGGGTGTTTTTTTTTTTATAAATCCCCTAATTTGAAATATTTTTTATGCTAGTCATATTTATGATTTTAATTTGTTGTTCAAAAGTAAAATTCCAAAAACTACAATTTTTATTAATCCAAAGGAATTGAAAGCTTTTATTGCAATTATATGGAAATTAGAGAGTGTCGTTTTACAAGGGAAAACAATTTGTCGTATTTTCCTTTCTCTTTTTCTAAAAGTTTTAAAAATGTTTATAATTTAAAATAAATTGAAAAAACGTCATAGATTTGATCAAATAGTTTATAAATTTGAAAATAAAAAATAAAAGTTCACTTCATTGCAAAAAACAAACTAACAACAAAAACGTAATTATAGTATATTAATTATTTTTTAAATTTGATATATTTATAAGATTCAACATGTGAGTTAAAATTATTATTATTTTTTGTATTAAAAATAATTATAAATATATTAAAAATAACGAAAAATAACTTATCCTAAAATAATAGGGGGTCAAATTCTAGTAATGGATAAACACATATAAAATAATGACCGATGTATACATGAACAATCACATTTTTTAACAATAACATATTAGAGACCATATTCATTATATAACACTTTCAATTTTATTAATTGTGTAATCAAAATGTGGTGAGAGAAAGGGGAGAAAATAATAGCTATGATCAATTTTTTCCTATTTTTTGTATGGATTTGAAGTCCTTTTACCACTACATTGGGTTGGGTACTAAGGTGAAAAATTTTGAAACAATTAAAATTATTAATATCTTTTTTAATTAAAATTATATTTTTTTAGCTGAATCATAAAAATTATTTAAAATCAATTAATTATTATTTATCACATGTCATCTATATAAAATTTTTATAAAATATTTAACATTTTTATTTAACAAATAATATGCATATAATACAATTATATTATATATAATTATAATACAATTATATTGGTTAAATATAATTTGATGCACTTTTATCTAAATACATTATTTTCACTCAAAAAATACACATATAAGATCATTTTCACCCTTGCTGACCCCAATGATCTACCAATTCATAAAACTTGGTCCATAAATAAGTAATGAGATCATTCTATATTATATTAACCATATTGCTTCCTTTAGATATATAATTGCCAATATAATTAGCAAATCTAGAAACGAAGCTTGACAATTTGTTAACAATATTAACAACTTGACTGCTTCTATCAACTTTGAACTTATGCTAGCATATCAAGTAGGCTAACACACTCACATGTGAATCCTGTTGAGAATAATAACTCAAATCTTATAAGAGATTTATTTGGGATTGACTAAATATTACTTAGACAAAAAGACTTATAGAAGAACAATTATAAGAGCAAAAGGATTCCTGATAGGTAAATTTATATTTATAAGTGAAGTCTCTACAGAGATAAGTATGAGAAAAAGATGTAAGAAAGTTGTAGGGTTTTATGAAATAGACACCCTCTAAGACTACTAAAGATTTACGTTTAGGTATGTATGTTCGAAGTTTGTATGTAGATTAAAGGAGACTGAGAGAATCCACATAGATATAGTGCATGAGTGCTTATGGGTATGTGTTTACTTAAGTTAAAAATACTTTACAAGACTAGAGGAGATTGCAAGGGTCTATAGGTATTAATTGTTGAATGGTTGATTAAGATTTGTATGTTTATAATTATCTACAACTAGTAGATCTTTTTTCTTATCCATAGACATAGTTCAATTAGACCAAATCATGTTAAATTATTGTCTCCCATGTGATTAATTGATTGTTTAATTTTACTTTCGCTAATGTGAATGTTCAATTCAATTGGATTGGGAGCTTTGAGTCTAACAAATCCCACACATTTTATTTGCATGAAATAGTTATAGTTTCTATAATTAATAGAGTTCTATAAATTATAATAATCTATGAAAATTTTGCACACATTATTTTGTTACAACAATTACAACTATCAAGCCCCAAGAGCTAGACATCCAAAAAGAACTGAATTATGCACACAAATGGAAAGCAGTCCACTTCTAATATGCCTGTTTGAAGAGCTATTCTGCAGAAATCCTATGTCTTATGCCACCCAAGTTTAATTAAATATACAAGCTCCTTACCCTAAGAATTGGTTGATTTTCATGATGGCTTTAAACCCTTTAATGCTACAACAAAATCTAAATATAAAAAGATAGAGTAATCATATTAAGACATTGGGAAAAAGCTAAAATAGTCTAAAAATTAAATGGTGCTATCTAAAGTTACAATTGTTCCATTTGCTTGAATGCATAAGTTGATAAGAAAATGACACTATATTAAGAATGCCAATTACTATTCTATATATCCTCCCCTACCTCACCCCTATTCAATGTTCGATTATACAGTTGATAGGCCAGTAGAACACTTGTATCATGGACTTTAATCATGCAATGGAATAAAAAGGGTACCAAGATGATATTTCAAATGTGCAGGAAGTTGATTGTGGCTACTACTTTTTTCTTCCTCAAAGTAATTGCTTTGGTTTTATTAGAATATGTTGTCAATAATTATATATTTAGTTATGTGTAAATATGTTTGTACTCTCTCATGACATAAATATACATGCTATAACCCTAAATGGGATAAGACAGAACATTTGTTCTTTACAAATTCATTTCATGGTATCAAAGTGGCTGCCTTCCCTCTTTCTTCATCTTCAATTCGGATCTAAATATTTGTCCTTTTCTCAAATCGAAAAACAATTACTTTTTATCATTCTACTCCAACAACTTTCTTTGTAATATATTATTTCTTAAACCTTCTAATGGCTTTCAACAACCAATCCTCTTTCATACCATATTTTTCCTTCCCCAATATTTCTAGCTTTATCTCAATTAAGTTAAGCTCAGTAAATTATTTGCTTTAACGTGATCAGATAATACCTTTTTTATTATGTTGTGATCTAATGGGGCATGTTGATGGCACCATTGCACCTTATTCTAAAATAATAACTAAAGATAATAAAACCACATCTAATCCTGCATATACAGAATGGGTAAAGAATGATCAATTTGTTTTCTCCTATCATAAGGCAACATTGTCACCAAGTGCACAAGCATAGGTCTTAGGTTTGTCCTCTTCTCGCCATGTTTGGATAACTTTAAAAATTATTTTTCATCAATAATGTCAAGCAAAGTTAGATCTGTTGCGTGATGAGTTACAGAGTTTGAGTGAAGAAACTACGTTTATTGGAGAATATCTTACCAAGATAAAATTTATTTTAGATAATTTAGCTATCATAAATCACCATATCTCTGATTCAAAATTGATCACTCATACTTTGAATGGATTGTCAAATACCATTGAATATCAACCAATTGTCTTTACTATTGAAAGTATAGATAATCTCATTTTTTTTAATGATTTGAAAACATTGTTATTATTTCATAAGCAACGCTTGAAAAGAATGCAAGTATTGTTATCACAACCTATGAATGCCATTATTAGTTCCCATGAGACAACCATGGTAACTCACCCAAACAGTCGATGTCAGAGTTTCAATATTCTTCGTCGTGATTTTAGGTGCATTTGATAGATTAATCAAAGGTATGATTTTCGTGATTCTTGATCTTTTTCTCGCATAAATCATATGCCTTAACAAGACTTTCAATCAAATAACCAAAATAACAAGAACTTCTCACATTCTCAATATGCAAATCATACTATAAAGTGTCAGATTTGTCACCAATTCAATCATACTACCATAACATGTTAATATCGCTACAATAAATCTGATCATAGTTTAAGTAATTCTTTTACTGGTCTTCATCTTTCTACTGCTACTTCAAATGATACTCTACTTAATGCTCCAATGGACAATGACAATGATACCTACTGGCTGGCAGATTCAGGTGTTACTAGTCACATGACTTCTAATCCATCATTGGTGCATCAATTCACTCCTTATACTGGTAATAAAGGTGTTTTATTGGTGATAATAGTTTTCTAAACATCACTCATATTGCTGATTCTGCTATATGTGTTGGTTCTACAAAATTAGCATTGAAAAATATTATATTTATTCCAGCATTAAAGAAAAATTTATTGTTAATTGCTAAGTTAACCGAAGATAATAATAGTGGTTTCCATTGTTTTCCTTGGGGTTTTGTTATTAAAGATCTTCGCACGAGCAAGGTATTTTTGAATGAACCAGTTAAAGGCAACCTTTATGTGATCCCTGTAAGAAATATGGAGTGATTCGTTGGTGTAGGGCAATGTGACCAACATGTTTTGTACAGTGGCATTTCTTCAGTTTCTAGAACAATTTGACATTAATTACTTGGACATCCAACTAGCAAGATTATAGCATAGTTAAAATATAATAAGCTCATCTGCCCCAATGATTCTTTCTTTTGTAACTTAACTTGTGCAACATGTCAAGTAGGAAAAAATAAACATTTGCCTTTTGGTTTATCTACTAGGATAACTTTTAATGTTCTTGAATTAATTCATTAGGATCTTTGGGGGCCATCATCCACTATTAATGTTACTAAGTTTTGTTATTATATTAATTTTATGGATAATTTCAGTTGTTATATGTGGTTTTATCCATTGAAGTGTTGTTCTAATAGTGTTACTTGTTTTGAGAATTTTAAGACTATGACTGAAAATCAATTTGGCAACAAGATCAATTTTTTTTAGTGTGATGGAGCTAATGAGCTTATTAAGGATGATTTTAAAAATCTCCTTGATCACCATGATATTTCTTTTCGAATTTATTATCCATATATCTATGAACAAGAAAGTTTTACAAAATAAAACATAAACATATTAAGGAAATGGGCCTGACTCTGTTGTTTCAAGCTTTCTTACCATGATCTTTTTGACTTAAGGCATTTTCTATAGCTATTTATCTTATCAATCCGCTTGCTACATCAGTTTTGGGTAATCATTCTCCTTTTTAGGTGTTATTTAACTTTGTATTAAACTACAATCATTTAAGGGTTTTGGGATATGCTTGTTATCCTTATTTAGTTCCTTAACCAAAAGATAACATTTTCCCAAAATTCACTTGTTGTGTCTTTTTCAGTATAGTTTAATCCACAAAGGATATTGTTACTTAGACCCCTCAATGATTAGGTTTATATCTCATGGCATATTGTCTTTGATGAAAATTACTTTCCTTTTGTATAACATTCTGTTTGTACAGTTCTTGGGATTCTTTCTCATCCTATTTACTCTTCTACATCTCCTAAGGTTAGTTTTGAGGTATCACTGCCCATACCTCCTACTATAATTGTGTCAGAACCATTAACAAATGCTTCAATGTCAAATACAACTATTTTTGAACTTGATACAACTATGTTGGCAACCTCTGCTCAACCATCATTTGAGCCTTTCACTTTTTTTGGTTTTAAAACCATACATCCTATGGTTACATGAAGTCCAGATGATACTCAAAGGCTTAAAGTACCATACTCTTTACATGCTACAAATTATCCATCTCTAGAGCCAAAATCCTTCAAAAAAGCATGTCAAGATAAAAAATGAATTTCAGTTATGAATGATGAATATTCTGCTTTGATGCAAAATAATACTTAGTCTTTAGTGCCTCATAATTCATCCATGAATGTTGTTGGCTATCATTAGATCTATAAAATCAAAAAGCAAGTTGATAGTACCATTGAGCAATATAAAGCAAGATTAGTGGCCAAAGACTTCACACAACTAGAAAGTATTGATTTTGACTCCACCTTTAGCCCTATTATTAAAGCCACTACTATTCAAATTGTTCTATCTATTGTTGTTAGTAAATGATGGTCCATCAAACAATTGGATGTCAAAAATGCATTTTCACATGGAAAGTTGCATGAAGAAGTTTATATGGCACAACCATCAGGGTTTGTGGACCCTAATCATCCTCATTATGTTTGTAAATTACATCGCTCTCTTTATGGTCTTTGCCAAGCTCCACGAGCTTGGTTTCAGAGATTTAGTTCTGCTCTTCATGCCTTTGGTTTCAAAAACAATCAAGTAGATCCTTCTATATTCATATAGCATTCTTCATCTAATATGATGTTATTTTTACTTTATTTGGATGATATCATTCTCATTGGCTCTTCATTAAGTGTTATTCATTCATTTCACAGTTTTTTTTGCAATTTTCAATGAAAGATCTTGGTGATCTTCATTGTTTTCTTGGAATAAAGGTACATCATACACCTAAACATTTATTGTTAACACAAACAAGATATGTGTTATCTCTATTTTCACGTTTGGGTATGAAAAATTGCAAACTTACTTCTACTCTAGTAACTACTTGTAAGAAGCTTTCTTTATATGATAGAACTTTACTTTCAGACCCATCATGATATCGCACCATTGTTGGAGCTTTGCAATATCTTACCTTTACTAAACCTAACATTACCTATGGTATGTAACAAGTCTATCAATTTATGCATGCACTTCTTGATATTCACTTTCAGGCTATGAAACGAATCTTGAGATATTTTAAAGGAACTATCAATTGTGGTATTTAATTACTTCCTTACACTACACCGAATCTGGTATGCTATGTTGATGCTGATTAGGTTGGTTGTCCAAACACTAAACATTCTACAATGGGTCATTGTGTTTTCTTAAGTTCCAATCTTGTTTCTTGGTGTACTCAAAAACAAGTTTACATTGGTCAATCTAGTATTGAAGCAAAGTATATGGCTCTTTCCATAGCTTCTTGAGGTAAACTTTAGATTTCTTATATATTGAATGAGGTTGGATTTCCTCTTGCACTACCTTGTTTTGTATATTCTGACAATATGGGTGCTATTCAATTTGCTGCCAATCCAATCTTTCATACTCGCACAAAACATATAGAGACCTCTTATCACTTTGTCTGAAACCTTATTTGCAAACCTCTTCTTCAACTCCTTTTTGTTTGTTCTCAATCACAACTAGTTGATATATTTACCAAGAGACTTTCTTTCTCAATTTTTCATCCATTTAAGAACAAGCACTTGTGGAGTTCTCCCCAATCACTTGAGGGGACGTATTAGAATAAGTTGTCAATTGTTGTATATTTAGTTATGAATAAATATGCTTATGCTCTCACATGATATAAATATACATGCCATAACCCTAAATGGGATAAGATAGAACATTTGTTCGTTACAAATTGTTTCAGTTCTAAGGTTGAATTTGACTTTATAGATCCTTCCTTTAAGTTACTATCTGGTATTTTATTGTCTTCTACAAATATCGTCTGCATTTTACTTGATGTTGAATCAGGTGTCTGTTGTGGATGGTATTTGTATGAAGATTTTGACCCTTAGAGAACTGCATAGCTGCTGCTCGTGCACCAGCTATTGCTTCACTAAGACTAGATGATTTCTCAATAACAGATGCTTTTGAATCAGGTAAGAATGCAGAAATGGATCCTGGCTTCAAGGAGAAAGGATCTCTGGGATTTGGTAGCAAAAACTTTACTGGTGCTGGACCATCAACTGGAACAAGCCCTCTAACAGTAGCCTCATATATCTGTTACAGATATTTCAATCAGTATCAATTCAAAGCAAAATGAGATAGAATGTCACTCATAACTTCATCCACGTGGTTATTACCTTCTTTTCCAAATTATAATCACCTTGGTACCCTCGCATCTCAAATGGGACTAACAATTTCTACACCAAATGAAAAAAATTTTCAATCACAATATAATATCTAATTTTAAAAAATAAAAAGAATTATAGAATAAATCAAATAGCAACCTATCAAGCATGAAAGTAACACCTTTGCTTACTCACAAAGCCAGCAAAAATCAATTTGTCCTTCTAGCCTAACCTGGATACAACAAAGAGAAAAAAAGAGAAGAAAAAGAATGAGTGGATCGGAATCGTTGCATATCTTAAGATAGCAAGGAACATTAGGTGAGAAAAGATAAGTTGCCAATCCCTTCAGGTAGCGTCTCCCGTTGAACTAATTCTTCACATTTCAAACAGCTGACCACCTCAACACACCCTAAACCATAGAAAAATTAACCTAGATTAGAAAAAAATAAGAATAAATGGGTAGTGTTAGGAGTATTTTTAGATCAAATGATCAAATTAGTATTTTTCTCATTAGAGACTGTCAGCAAACAATCAAAGAAATTTTTTACTTTTGGAATGACCAAACATGCATAGTGCTACATTAACTCAGCTATATCATTATTCTATCCCACAAACCTTTTACTCTCTGTTTATAAATAAAGTCATCTAAATACTATATATCCATCTAATCTTTTCTTTTACTTTTCTATTTTCTTCTTCTTTCGACCTTTCTTATTCTGATATCTGACTTGAGCGTCGGTTCTCTTTCTCTTATATGATTTCAGGGTTTTCACCCTCAACTCAGAATTTGGCACCAACAAGTAAAAATGTAAAACAATGCCATTAGAATTCAGGTGAAATCTTGCTACAATTTAAAAGTTGACCTACAAAATTATTTTATCAATTTGCAATAAACTGTTTTGAGGAATAATGCAAAAGAAAAATTAGAAAAATGCAAACAAACCACCACAGAAATATCGATAGAATTTATACGAATATAGAAAGGACTAACCTAGCAGTCTTGAAAAGGGTAATTTTCTGCAAACTTAATATCAGTAATTCCATTCACTGCAAAATTTCCCTATGAAATCCCCCCATTGCTTTGATTGTAGCAATTTAATTCATCTTAACTTTAAAAAAGTCTTTAGAGTACTTGTTAGCCAAATATTCCTTAAAGTCTAATACGACAAAATCATGATCAGAGAAGCCTAATTGATAGATATTTCAAATCTCCAAGAGGACCCAAATAGCTAAGTATGCAAAAAATTTGACTAGCTGTACGCACAATGAATGAAAGCTATAATTAAAAATCTCTTATTGGATGAGCAGATTGAAAAGCACAATGATAAAATTAATTATTGTAGTAATGAAATTAAAGATTATAACAGTATGATTAAAATTAATGAAAAAGATATATTTTTAATTGCGAAGAGATTAAATATGGCAATTGACAATCAATTATCTCATTGAAAACAGTCTATTGTCATAATTAAAAAATTTTTATTTTTCAACTGAAAACTTCCAACTGCACCGATAAGGTGTTATATAAATACACGTCACAAGAGGCGAAAACACCATTAAATTGCAATGAAATCCAAACGCACCTTATTAAGCAACCACCATCAATTAACAAGGAACAAGTACAATGCTCGAAATAAAGGCTTAATTTATTGTGAAGGTGACAATTAGACCAACTAATATAAAGGATATTGAAATTTTAGAGCAAATTTTTCAGTAGGAATTTTATAAATTAGCCACGACCATCACTATTGAGAATCAAACCAATGGCTTTGTCCATATTTTAACCTCAGTCAAGTAGCTCCATTAATGGCTGTCCTTTTTTATCTGTAACTAGGTGAACCTGTTGGAAGGATCATTGGAAAATCGCCTCATAATTAAAACCAACCACTCCGATCGAGCAAGCGCAATGGCAAAGGATCATGCCAAGTCTTTCCTGCCAATTTTCGTGTTGCTCATCCTTGGCTTCCTCTTATTTTCACAAAGCTCTCGGGCAATGCAGGACAGTGAAGCTGCTGTTTCTAGTTCTTCCTCTGATGCAATTCTTTCCAAACTGTCAAATGTTAAGTTCAACCTTGTGTCCAAAGGGTTAAAGCAAATCAACTCAAGACCTCCAGCTCCTATGCCCAGTGCTCTTCTTCACTTCAGAATGCCTCCTATTTACAAGATTTGGCCCTCTCCATCACCACCGACAACTACAGCAACTCCACCACCGTCAACATCATCAGCAGAACCACCATTTGTGCCATCACCACTGCGGCAACTACCTATGTTAACTTAGCTTTGTTACTTTCTATCAATAAGGAAAACATGTTTGTTTGCCATGTATCTATATAGCTTGGTGTATCTAGTAAAATTTTGATGTATTGAAATTAAAGTTTGCCAGGTTATTTTCCTAGAAAATGGCCTATGTTAACTATTTTTCTAGGCTCTTAATTATGTAGTAATATAATGTTCATTATCATAAAATTTGAGGCAATTGCTACAATAGTGTTGACAAGTTAATACAATTCATGACTTAGGGTTAATTTAGAAAGTTTGAATACAAAAGTAACTTTAAAAAATTGGTTAAAATTTTTAACTGTTTAGTATTATTGTAAAAAAGTATTATGTGTAATTAAAATATTTAAAAAGATATGCATAAAATAATAAAAAATAAAAATATATATAAGGTAATATAGTAATTTTAATTTCAAAAGCACTTTTTCTTCGTAAAACATCTTGAGTAGCTTTTTTCTTTGAATCGTAAAACCAAGCTTGTAAACTATATATATATATATATATATATATATGGATGGTAACGGATCAGATCAGGATAGATTTATATAATACGTGAACCTAACTCAATTTAATTTTTTTCATACTCGAACTCGATTCGATTTGATATTATATAAAATTATACCCAATTTGATCTGACGCGAAATTAATAAAATATTATTTTTTAAATATAAAATATTATTTTTAATATAAATATAAAATTAAATATATATATAATTAATTAATTAATTAAAAAATTTTATATATATATATATATCGAGTCAAATAAGGTCAGTTTGCCTAAAACCCAACCCTGATACATTCTCGATTTTTTCCTTCTATCACCCAATCCGATACTCAATTTAAAAATAAAAAATCAATTTTAAGAGATCAAGTCGAGTCAAAATCCGTCAGATAGAAGTCAAACTACCTTCATTTTATATATATATATATATATATATATATAAAGATAAATATAAATATATATATATATCATGGATCAAAGACAGTTTTTGAATGCAAAAATTATTTTCAACCACAATACTAATATGTGACATCTAACATATCTAAAATTTAAATTTAAACACATACAATTTCTTTATTTTATGCTAAGATTATGACCTTGTTTACACAAAAATATTCATCATAAATTATACTTATAATTACAACAACTGTTTTAAATTATAATAACTATTGTACTATAATTACATATTCATATTAAATGATTTTTACAAAAGTCCAAACTCATTTTTTTTTTAATAAATATTTGTTATATAAAATTGAATTAATTAATTTAATTTTATAATCATCTTGAATCTTCTACCAACTCTTAAATATATGAAAAAAGTTTGCCATAATTTTATTCTATAACTTTAGAATCGAATTATTTTATATAGATGTTATGTAGGGGGGTTATATTATGTAATTTCATTACAGATTTAATCTATCTTTAGTTAAATAATTTTTATTAAAACAAACTTTAAAAATTTTCAGTGTAGCGGAGCCATTCTATGTTAGGGTATTAAGAACCAGATGTACAAATGAGTGGCCATGCTTTTATCTCCTATTTTAAGATTTTTCAAGCCCTCTATTATCATTGTGTTATTATGAAGAGAGTATACGATGTAATTTACATTATATGCTGCTAAATTTTCACTATAAATCTTATTATAAAAAGGTGTAGTGATTAAACTTGGACAAATTGAAATTTGTAAAGTAGAAAAAATGGTATAAATTTAAGCAATCACTTATATAACATTTGAAAATATTCGCTTAATTTAACATATTAAGTAATTACCTAACTAAGATTTCGAAAATATTTTTTATTAAATTATTAAGTAATAACCTTATTAAATTCGGATCCTATCCATGACATATAGTGCCAAAAAAAAAAAAAGCCAAATCAATCATTTTCAAAGAGGTTTAATTGACCAAAGACAATAAAATCAAGTTATTAATTGGTGCAGTTTAATTTCTTGTAAAATTTAAATTATTGAACTGATTGTAGGGTGGTGTTAAATTTTTAATTTTAATAATTAAAATTAAAATTTTAATAATTTTAAATAAAATAATTTATTTTGGATTTTGTTGTCCCATGATGGATCCAATAAGCAAATGTGGGCTGCCACGTTTGGTTTTTTTAATCAAAATTTCAAAATTGTATCCTCATAAACAAAATACGTTTAAATTAGAAATTTATTTTTATTTATTTATTTAATTTTTTAAAAATTAATTTATTTTATTATTTTTAAAATTTAAATTTTAACGCTTATAATATTTTTTTATTTTTAGGTTTCGAATTTAAAAAAATTTTAAAAAATATAGAAATTAAATTTGATAAAAATGTATTTTAATTAAATGATTTAAATTAAATTTGTTTGAAAATTTATTTAATTATATTTTTTATTATTTAACTTTAATCAATTAAAATTAATGATAAAATGGTACCTCTTTTATAATAAATAAATAAATATTTTATTAACATCAATAGCATATCAAATATTTTTTTATTTATAAATTTAATATATAAAATTTTCAAAACAAAAAAACTGATAGTTAATTTATCAAACATTTAAAAAAAAAATTTTAAAAGATGGCTATATTCTAGGAAATTTACCAAACGTCTTTCACTTTTCTTTATTTCAACGTCTGAAGTCAGCCATAGCCATCCAGGCAATGATACCTCAGTCCTCTGAATAGAAATTTCCCCACTTTCCTTTTTCGCCTTCAACAAAAACCCTCATCAAAGATGAAAAAACAAAACGAAATGGCTCAATTTCGCTAAAAACGAGCCCCCCCTCTGAACGACACGGCAAGTTTCCTCTTTCCTCTTCGCCGACAGCATGCACCTCTTCTTCTTCCCTTTTCCCCCTTCACATCCCACACAGAAGAAGAAAAAAAGCCGTTGACTTTTCTTTTTCTTGGCTTAACTCAAAGACCCCAATTTGTCGGAAAAAAAGGCTGAAAAATGGAGCAAGGGATACTTGATGATATTATAAATCGGCTTTTGGAAGTTCGGGGTCGACCAGGGAAACAAGTGCAGCTATCAGAATCGGAGATCCGACAACTTTGTGTTGTTTCTAGAGAGATTTTCTTACAACAACCTAATTTGTTGGAACTTGAAGCACCCATCAAGATTTGTGGTATTATTCACTTGTTATTTCAAATACCTAAGTTTTAATTTTTGGTTTTTTGATGACCCATATGCTTATTTTGACTTGTTTTGGTGATTTGAGGTTTAATTTCGTGACTTTAAGGTCAATTTTATGGGAACCCCACTTTTCATTTGTAGCTTAATTCCAACTTATTATGATTCTTTTCACCTTCCTGGATTTGCAGTTTATTTGATGCTTACTGATTCTTTTGGTTTTTGGTTATTAGCTTGGGTTATTTATCTGGGTTTTAAGTGCTTTAACTTGGAATGTAGTAACTTAATCTTGCTGAGTTGTAAAACATGAATTCCTTTACAACATCTTGTAGAGTTGTAAAAAAGTCTCACCTTTACCTGTTAAACCCTTGTAATGTATGCTCGAAGTGTGGTTTATTTATGTATTTTGGATGGTTATTGGATTATTAGGTAAAGCCAAGTTTGTTTCTGATGGACTTATCAAATGATGTTTTAATTTGTTGCTTTTTTTATCGCTGCGTGGTTTCATCTCTTATTGTGGAGTGTTTTGTGTTCATTTGTTCGACTTTTTATTCAGATGGACGGCCTGGTTTTGCTGTGGTTTTGATTGCTTAATTTGGAGAAGATTATATTCATTTTTTAACCAGTGGGAAATTTTAAGCTGATTAGCAACCTTGCATATTTTATTTTGTTGCATTGTGCAAATTTGCAATATGAGCTTAGATCAATGTGTTCAATTTGAAGTAAGCCTTGTTTATGCCTCGCTTTCACAGTTGATTTCTGTCGAATTTCTGGTTGTGGAGTAATTGTATGCATACATGGGACACATTGTATTTTGTTACGCTCTACACACGCATCTTTTTCCATAAACAACTGTGTGTTGATTGTTAAGCCTATGACTTGAATTGCATAATGGTTTTTTTTTTTCTGATTTCTTTTAATTTCATACCATTGAATGTTGATCTAGTCTGTGTTCACTTTTGTGCTATATTAATTTCTTGTAACCACAATTTTTTTTTCTTTTTTCTGTTAATTACTTGTGGCACTTCACATGTAGCAGGCTACTTGTTCCCCTCATTTCTATGATCTATCTGTTGCCCTATTTTCCCTTTTGATTTGGTGGATGAATTGGGATTTTGAGTGTATGAATTTTTTTGGAAATTCTATAGAACAGTTTGTCCCGTACCAGATTTTGTGTGAGAATTTGCACATGTGTTTCCTTGATGATCTAGTGTTTTGTCATGCTTGTGGTTTACTAAAAAAACCATGATGTGGTTTGGCTGACCAACCTGCAAGGACTTCATGTTCTGATTGTCTATGGTCTCAAGAGCTCTCTTATTATCAACTAGAAGTCTTGAATGGTTTACTGCATGTTCACTTGATGAATTTGAAGCATAAACAACTTAGCCAATCATTGATGTTTGATTTTTGGATCATCTGCACTAAAATTTTGTACTGATTTGGTTCCTAATATGTAATAATTTTCCCTTGGTGTAGCATGAACATTTTGCAGGACTACTGATTGGTGATGATTCAAATGGATTGAATATCTACATTACAATATATTCCTCACTCTCACACATTATAAAAGGAACTTTTAAGTACATCTCTGTTGATATTTCAACCATCTGGGGTGCTTACATTATTTTATATGCACTCACATTCATGTATATTATATGCAATTTTTAAAATTTTAAGCCAAGACAACATCACAACACTATCCAAAGAAGGACTGTATATTAATGAAATAATAAATTCTTTTAACAAAATTACTACAAATTGACTTTTGTGCAGCATAGTCAAACTACTAGTGTTATTAATCTATGAGGCTGCATTTTGGGGAAATCATTTTCAGCAAATTAGTTGTAATTAGGGACTTTTTTTTTTAAACTATTATTTTCCTACAAATAGGGAAGACTTATGAATTTGTTTTCCTGTGTTAAATCTGTTTCGTATTCAGGTGATATTCATGGTCAATATTCTGATCTTTTAAGGCTTTTTGAGTATGGTGGATTGCCTCCAAATGCCAACTACTTGTTTTTGGGGGATTATGTCGATCGAGGCAAGCAGAGTCTGGAGACAATATGTCTTCTTCTTGCTTACAAGATAAAATACCCTGAAAACTTTTTCCTGTTGAGGGGAAACCATGAATGTGCTTCGATAAACCGCATATATGGTTTCTATGATGAGTGTAAGAGACGATTTAATGTTAGGCTATGGAAGACATTCACGGATTGTTTTAACTGCCTGCCAGTGGCTGCGCTAATTGATGAGAAGATTCTGTGCATGCATGGAGGCCTTTCTCCTGATCTGAATAATTTGGATCAGATTAGAAATTTACAACGCCCAACCGACGTACCAGACACAGGTTTGCTTTGTGATCTTCTCTGGTCGGATCCCAGTAAAGATGTTCAATGTTGGGGAATGAACGACAGGGGAGTTTCATTTACTTTTGGTCCCAACAAAGTGTCAGAGTTTCTACAGAAACATGACCTAGATCTCATTTGCCGTGCCCACCAGGTTTTACTTGCTCTAGCAGCTCACTTTTACGTTTCACATTTACTTTGAGTTCATATAGTAGCCTTTGCTGTTAGTCAGATTGTAGGAGAATGTATCATCAGGAGCCAATGCACATATCATTTGGTGTAGTTGGTTATTTTCTGTCAATTATGTGTATTTTATGCCCTGACGTGCAATTACTTCTTTTCTGAGTTCACAAAGTTGTTGAACTTTTGACATTGCCTTTTTGGAATATTATACTTTTTTCAGTGTTACAGACAACTATTTCTTCTCAAATTAGTTTTGGCTCCTGTTGGTACATTCTGCTTAGTTATTGTCAATCACGGAGGATGTGATTGCCGGCTTAACTACTTATGCTCTTATTTAGGAATTTTCTAATATATTATTTGTAGGTTGTGGAAGATGGATATGAGTTCTTTGCCAACCGACAACTTGTAACCATATTTTCAGCACCCAATTACTGTGGGGAGTTTGATAATGCTGGAGCCATGATGAGTGTGGACGAGACTTTGATGTGCTCCTTTCAAATATTGAAGCCTGCAGATAAGAAGTCAAAGTTTAACTTTGGGAGCACAACCACAACCAAGCCTGGAAACCCTTCAACAGGCATCTTTGGGAGCACAACCACAGCAAAGCCTGGAAACTCTCCAGCAGGAGTCAAGGTAACTATGAGTAGATCTTTAACTACGCAAGTTAACCAATAGAATATAGGTGCTGACTGCATGATGTTTGGCATTACTCATGGTTCTCACATTTTAAATTCCATTATTGTTATTACCTTGCAAGAAATCCTTGAATACATACCATTTGTGTTAGGGACTAAGTTATTATTTTCTTGGCTTTGTATTAGAGTTGTTAGATACATGACAAAGTAGGAGGGGAATACATACCTTAGGTTAATGCTGAATATAGTTAAAGTCAAAGATGGAGGATTATATTCTTGTTGAATATTCATTGGTACATAATAGTACCGCTTCCCGCTAAGTACGGGAGATGTAAGATACAGAGAAAATGAGTTGGAGGAGAAAAGATTGAATGTGCAAGTCTTTGAATAGCTTTACTGTGGTAACTTCTACCAAAGGAGTTTGCATTGCCATTTTTTTGGTTTCTTTCTTTTTTGGTTGTTCTTTTTCCTCTTATTTGGGAACTTTAAGTAGGAAATTGGAAAGAAATATTCTTGAAATGTACTAATTCTGAATTATCTGCTTCTATGTGTTATACACAAAGAAGTATTTAAAAAAAGGCACTCATCTTACTACTTATCATCTCCTTGTTTGTATTATACACAAAAAGTAGTAAAGAAGATCTCATCTTTCTCAGTATTTTGCCGACTCCCCTAATTGTTTTGTTTTTCAATGCAGTCATTCCTTGGTACAAAGGTATGAAAGCAGCACTTGCAGGGTGGAAGCCGGAGCCCAGTTACACCAGGAACGGACCAGAATTGCAGTTAAGAAAACTTGAGGTCCTTTTAATTTCAATATAATATGCTCAATTAGTAAAAAATGGAAGAGAAAAGTCATTAGAATCTGATGCAAAAGATTGTTTCTCAGATAAATTTGGGTTTGAAGGTAGAAGGCTGTAATTTCCTTCTCTTCCTCCATGTACACTAATAGCTGCTACAGTTGCTGCTATGAATTTATTAGGTTGTTGCAGTTAAGGTTTTCACTCATTCTGCTCTGAATCCATGAAGTTTGTTGGAATGGTTAATGGCCTTTTCTTGGTGATTAAGGGACAGCAAATTGAATTTGGTACAATTCTGATGCATCATTCTCTGATACTTTTTCTGTTTCATGCAATATGCTACTGGATAGATGTTGATGCAAATAACCTTGAAAACTTGCTAATGGCCTCTAATTTGAGAGTTTTAAGATTGAATCATTGACATGTGAAAATGATTATGTGAGATTGAGAACATCCATTGAAACTATTGCAGCAGAAGTGAAGAACGGTGTACAGGGAAAGATTGAAAACCAAGCTTTTTGCATCCTGTATGCCTCAGAAAGGCCTATTTTTGTTGTCAGATCTGTCACCATTTTCTTGTATGAAGGCCAATGTCTAAATGAAATATTCAGAACAATGGTTTCTTATACAAGGCAAAAATGAAAACCATTGAGAATAATGGAAATTTAATATCCAAAGAAATGCAATCTAGCAATTAACATGATTATTGCACAAAAAAGTTACCTTCTCATGTGTAACTCTAAATCTTAATGAATCTAAAAATTATTGCACAAAAAATGTTGATCCTTAGGTGGTGCTTTAATAAAATTGGGCAATACTAATTTGTTTTACCGCCATCGGTAGGCTTTTTTTTTTATCGATTTGTAAGTTCGATATAAATTTTTATTATTTTTTTGATAGACGATTTGTAAATTTAATGTAATTTTCATTTGGAGTAATCTTCCTTCAACTAAATGTTTTTCATACAAAATAGAGAGCAACGCTAAACATAAGGAAATAGCCAGAAATGTTTATTAGTAAGTCAAACACAATTTGATTCAAAAAAAAAAAAAAGAAAACCCAAGTTGATTTTTTTAAAAAAAGACAAGAAAAAAAGGTCAAACCTGGGGCTGTTGGGCATCACCAATGACTTAAGCCTTGAAGTAGGTTCACATATTCAAGTTATTCAAGTTTGATCATTAGGTCCAATAAAAGTGCATTTATTTCACATGATTTTTCAATTGTTTTTTATTTAGCATTTCAAAATCAATTTGATTTTTAATTCTTCATGTAGGAATGTGGTCCAAAAGTGAAAAGTAAAATGGGACAAATTATAAGAAAAAAAGTCAAATCTCTTTTCTGATTGATAAAACTGAAGCTAATTATTTGAAGATTTTTTCTTCTTTATTAAAGCTCACGCTTATTCACTACTTATGAGTGAGTTATAAAAAATAAATCCATCTTTTTTTCCACGTCAATAAAATTGAAATTCAATGATAGTCAAAAATGGCATGAAGATATACACATGCAACATGGGTCATTGAGTATAGATTCCAAGGCATTGCTGAAACATGCCGGATGCTTGTCATGATTCATGAAACACTTGTAACTCAATTTGTACAAGAAAAGCATGCTTCTCTCATATTATTTTATGGATCCCCCTATGATCTTTTTCAAAAAGCTTGAATCAAATCCTCCTATCATGATTTTTTAAATTGAAATATGTGGAATTGAGGCAGCTTTTCATTTTTCTCAAATATAAATATTCAAAAATTTCTCTTACTATAAACTTTGAAAACTTATCAAAGATGTTCTCCTGTGCATGGAGCCTGTATATTATATCAACTATCTGATATGTTACTGCACTGATTTTGAATCAATGTGATTGATATTACTATTAAGTTGTGAGCATTTGTTGACAAGAATTTTCAACTAAGAACAGGTTAAATACAGGCAAAATAGAATAAACCAAGCATAAGCTAGCATACAAAGCTTGTCCCCCAATGTTTTGATTCTTTAATAGCAAACTTCTTATGACTTTGGTGAGTGGAAAAAGATATGCAATTCAATCTTTCATTTCATATTACTTTTGTCAAATGTCAATATGGAAAGAATACCCAGCTACCAATTTCACAGCTAAATGCCTGGCTAGAAATTCTGCAGATACCTTGAAAACCCACATAGCCAATATTCTTCAGTATATGATTCCATCCAAAGAAAGAAGAACATTTAGGTTCCATCAGAGAAGCTGATGAAATGGCAATGGACCATCAAAAGATTCAAAACCAGATTCCAAAATTACATAAAGTTCATGTTTGGGGATTCAATTTCTCATAGAAAATAAGCATACCAGATTCCCATATAAAAAAAAGCAGTAGAGAACAACAACAACTACCTTGTTTCTCAACGCTTTCTCACTTCCTTTATACTTCCATTAACAAAAAGAAAAGTAATGGAGGGGAAAGACAAACAGGAAAAGGATTCTCAGTCTCACCTACTGGTTATCTACATATACACTCTCTTGCCTCCTTAAAAAAAAAAGAAAAAAAACCATAAAAAAGTACTAAACAAGAATGGTAGGTTCTTGATGGTTGAGCCCCATGGGAAGAAACTCTTTCCCTATGTAACTTCCATGGTATTGGAAAACTCGATTCTGTGGAAGCATCCATCATGGAGTTTTTGGTTTGAATTTTGCTAGAGAAGAAAGCTGGGGGACCCTTTTTGATAGGCAGGCTTAATTACATGAAAGCTATTATGCTTTGCTTTTGACTGATAATTTCAGCTCTTTTCAGAAGTTAAAATCAGTCCATTGAAGTTGTTTCCCCTCCATTCAACATCCAGGGGTGCCCTGATAAATTTGTTAGATGAGGAAAACATGATTAAAAGACAAAATCCTTTGAAAATTCAACTTCAAATCATCCCAATTTTTCAATTCACTTCAAAATCAAAACCCTCAAACAAATAAAAAATCAACAAAAGAAAATGTGAAGAAAATAAGAACTTACTCAAAACTTGTTCTGCAGACCATCTCCTAGAAACATCCTTGCAAATCATCTTCCTCAACAAATCCTTAGCCTCAGCCGAAACTGACCTGAAAATCCTTGTAGGAAACCTCAAATTCCCTCTCAAAACAGCCTCAAAAATCTCCTCAGCTGTCTCACCATAAAATGGTGGAACACCAGCTAATAAAACATACAAAACGACACCAGCACTCCAAACATCAACCTTTTCATTGTAAGCTCTGCCCATCACAACCTCCGGTGCAACATAATATGGCGTCCCAACCAACCCATCGACCGTGCCAAGTTCCCCTAACCATGCAGCAGAACCAAAATCTCCAATCTTTAACTTTCCTCTAAAGTCAAAAAAAATGTTGTCAGGTTTAACATCTCTATGAACAATCCCAAACCTGTGACAATGGGCTAAACCCGACATAATCTGTTGCATGTAAGAAGCAGCTTTGGATTCAGACAAGTCTGGCTGCAAAATCTGGTCGTACAGGGTATAAGGCTGGCAAAGTTCGAGGATGAGGTGAAGGCCATCTTCGGATTCGAACATGTCATGGATTTGTACGATGTTAGAGTTTGGAGACAAAAGGGTCATGATTTTAGGCTCGTTTTCTAGAGATTCTCGATCAATGGGGTCTGTAAGAAGGCGTTTGTCAATGGATTTGCATGCGAATGAGGCTTCGGTTATAGGACAAAACACCCGAGAAATCGTTCCAAACCGCCCTCTGCCGATCTCTTCACATACTTGGTACTTGTTCTTCAATGTTTCACACATTCTCTAGAGGTTTTTTTGATCTGGGTTTTCTTTTTTTTACGATTTTTTGAGGGTTTTTGGTGTTTTTTGTTGTTGCTTTGGGTAATTGTTTAGTTTTATAGAGAGGGAATAAAGGAATTGTTGAGCGGAATATTCTGTGCGTAAAAGGAAAGGTGAGGGATTCAGGGAAAGCCAGCTAAGATACAACAACGCGTTTGTTTGTTTGGAACAGTGGAAAAATCGAAACCAAGCAAGGATGCTTGAAGATTTAATAATTCATATAAAATATTAAAATTTAATTATTTTATTATATTTTATATGAAAATTATATGATATAATTCGTTTTAATATAAAAATATAAAATATTTTTTTATTTTATTAAATTTTTATATAATTATTATTAAAATTTTAAATCAAATTATATTTATATTTTTTTTATATTATATTCCTATTTTACCACTATATCATAATCCGTATTGATAGGTAGCGTGAGAGAGAGATTTTAACTCTTGACAGTTTGGTCTTCAACGACTGTCCTTAAGTTGCGGTTATTTTAGCTCTTTTGTAGTTTTTTTTTTTTAATAGAAATTTTTTAGAACAATATAGCATCACTATATATAATTAAATACTAATTCTAAACTCTTACTATCTACGAAAATATATTTATATATTAATAAATTATATATAAATATAAATATTTTAAACGATAGTTTAAGTTATAAAATTTATGAACAATTTATAACTTATATAATTATTTTTATCTAAATTTATATTTTTAATATAATAAAATTAATTAATTACATATTGAATATATTTATACAATTATCATCAATTCCAAAAAAAAAATTCAAACTATAATTTATTGAATCCAAATAATCTCTAGATAAAAGATAATAATATTTTTAATTTCAAAAAATTAAAATTTTCATTCTTAAAATTAATATCGCATACAAAATTTTTTTCATGATAGATTCTTCCATAAATTGTTATTGAAGCGCAAATACAATAATTGATTCTTTAGTATTTTTTACTATCTTGAAGTAAGTGTTATTTTACTTGATAAGCCAATAAATTTCACAGATGAAAGTGAAGAGATAAATAAAACAACAATCTATAATTTAATAATAGTTTAGTTATAATTTGAACTATGTAATTTTGTAACAAATATAATTATTATAATAAGCTTATACTTATATCTTCTAATAAATTTTAACATTCAAACTTATAATCAAAATCATACACCTTATTTATTGTAAGTTTGGTATTACTTCTACTTATCTCAAGATTATACTTTGTTGCACTCGTCTCGAACACACAAATTTTACCTTTGAGATATACAAATATTTTTTAGATTTTATAATCTTCATTTTTCTAAATCATAAGTATAAATATATTATTTAATTAATTTGAATATTAAATAATATTAAAATAATTTTTAACTCAATACCTTAACAAATATTTCATAAAGATTGTCGATATATCTATTAATTAAATATTTAGCTTCTGTATCAAACAGTACGAACATCGCCCTTCCAAAATTATCATATGTCTCAATACTCAACTTTTACTTATAAAAAATGCAAAATCTTACAATTATAAATATAATATAATAATTTAAAATACTTTTATTATTATCATGGCATAATAATTTTTTTATGTATCAAATATAAAAAATATAAATACTAATTATCTTGGAGTTAGATTAGGGACATCAACATTGCATGAATAATATTGAAATTTCTTATCAATTTTTAGCAATTTCTCATTACACCAACATGACATATAATACCAACCAAATGTGATATCAACTTTCATGATAGTGATTCTATTGATAAAAGACTTTTCATGTATATACCCAATCGTCTTTAAAACAATCATTAACAAAAAAAATATTAAAAAAATTAATATTATAGCCAAAGAAATATAAAATATAAGTATAAAAAATAATAACCTTTGAACAATACAGACCAAAAAAATTATGCAAAATAAAAATTAAGAAGAAAATTGAAGTAGAGATGAGTAATGATAAAAAAATATAAAATTAATGAAAAGTAGTTAAATATGCATTATGCTTAACCTAAAGCTACTTATACAAAAAGCGCATTGTAAGTTAATTAATAAGATAATTTTAAATTATGAAAATAATATTGAAATAATAAAAACTGTGAGTGAATAATAATCTAACAATGACAAGTTGATTGATATTGAAATATTTTATTTTACCATTAACATTTAGAGATCTCTTAATTTAGAATAATAAAACAAATTAAATTTATTATATTTGATAATGGTAATAAAACAAATTAAATTTTAATTAAATCAACGTGCATTAATATATAGATTTTAAAATTATAAAAAGTTACAAATGAAATCAAATGAAATCCACGTGCGTTAATATTTTATTAAATAAAATCAAACGTGCATTAATATTTTACCAAATGAAATCACATTTAATGAAATGTAAATCTATCAATCAAAAATATATTAATAAAATATTTTATTTCATTAATTTAATTATGGAGAATTAATTTGATATATTTACTTTTCATATTTACAGATGAAATATATCAAATACTCAAATGGATACTATATTTAACCATATATAAATGTATTAAATAATTGATTAGAGAATCGATTATTTTATGATTGTAATTGTAGTATTTATTAAATTATTAATTATATATTGATTGATTTAATTTTTCAAATTAAAAATTTTTTAGAATTTTAATATTTTTAATATTAATTAAACTAAGAATGATTTAAAGTCAATAACAAAAACATAAATACAGTCAATTAATAAGATAATTTTAAATTATGAAAATTAATATTGAAATAATAAAAATTATAAGTGAATAATGGTCTAACAATGGTCAAGTTGATTGATATTGAAATATTTTATTTTGCCATTAATATTTAGAGATCCATTAATTTAGAACAATAAAACAAATTAAATTTATTGTATTTAATAATGGTAATAAAATAAAATAAATTTTAATCGAATCAACGTGCATTAATATTTTATCAAATGAAATCATATTTAATGAAATATAAATATATCAATCAAATATAAATTAATAAAATATTTTATTTCATTAATTTAATTATGAAAAATTAATTTGATAAATTTGTTTATATATTTATACATGAAATACATAAGGAGATATATCAATTACTCAAATGAATACTATATTTAATTAAATATAAATGTATCGAATAATTAATTAGAAAATCAATTATTTTATAATTGTAATTGTAGTATTTATTAATTTATTAATTATATATTGATTGATTTAATTTGTCAAATTAAGAAAATTTTTAAAATTTTAATACTTTTAATATGAATTGAATTGAGAATAATTTAAAATAAATAATAAAAACATAAACATTATCAATTTAGTTTTTTGAATTATATTTGCTTTATATATTTACATATGAAATACATCAATTACTTGATACTATATTTAATCAAATATAAATATATCAAATAATTGATTAGAGAATCAATTATTTTATAATTGTAATTGTAGTATTTATTTAATTATATATTGATTGATTTAATTTGTCAAATTAAGAAAATTTTAAAATTTTAATATTTTTAATATGAATTGAATTGAGAGTGATTTAAAGGTAATAATAAAAATATAAATATGATCAATTTAATTTTTTAAATTATTTTTAAATTAAGAATATATTAAATAAAATAAAATGCATTTATTAAACATTACGTGATGATTAAAATCATTTACATATCAATATTTTAAACAATCCACATAACAATTTTTTTTTTTCACTTTTACCAAAAGTTTTGGTTTTTATATATTTATATAAAACTAATGAATTTAGAAACAACGGTTTTATTTAAAAGGTATATTTTACATTTGCATATTTGATTTTGTAATTAATAAGAGCGTTAATAGGTTGATTCGATTAATTTTTAAATAAATTATTTAAAATTAAATTAAATTATTTTTATTAATTGAATTAAATTTATTAATTTTAAAAATATAATCGATCAAATTAAATTAAATTATTTATTAATTAAATATATAATAAAATATATTTAAATTAAATTATATTTTAAACGTTTAATTTATTATATTTAAATCAAACTAAATAAAATCATTCAATAAAATACTTATATTTCTCATAAAAAACCAAAACATAAAATCAAATGTTTTAAAGAATTAAAGTGAAATGTTTTGTTGAAGTTATAGAATAGGAAGGGCTTAAAAAATAATTGTAGTCAACACACTAAAATTGGAAACTTATTTTGTATTTTTTTTTCAAAAGGAAAATTTTTTCCTAAATATATCTAATCAAGTTTTTACAATACCAAATTGTATATACGAAAAAAATTGTATAAAACAATTATACTATATCAATATATACTTTTATCATTCAAATTATGCTATATAATTAAATTAATAAATTTATTACATATTATATATAAATAATTAAATAATAAATATTTATTTTAATAGATAATTTGTAAAGATTCAAGTACAATAATATCCTAAGAACTCATTAATAATTTTACGAATGGTTGATTTAATCGATCAAGATCGTTTTCTTCGACAAAGAGATATTGAGTTCGAGTCTTGTCGATGGTCATTTGTTAGGGTCATATTGAATACACATGATCTGCAGTTACCTGTCATAAGCTATTAGATACAACACATCTTATCATAAGCTGAAGGACTGAATAATTTATCTGCCATTGAATTTTTTTTTATAAAAAAAAAAAAATAATAGTTAAATAATAGTGTGACGTATTTGTAAAATGTTAGATACCGACATTGATTAGATTCAATTCTAACGTCCTTAAATAGATTTAATAATTTATGTATTTATATTATATAAAAATTAAAATTTATGTATTTATATAATATTTTATATAAAAATTATCGTATTATAATTTATATTAATATAAAAATATATTTTTTGTTTTGATTAAATTTATATATAATTATTATTAAAATTTTAAATAATATCGAAAGAAAAACCTATTTTCTCATCTAAACAATTTTGGTCTTCTAAGATTTATTTCTCTAAAATATTACATTATTACAGAGAAAAGAGAAAATTAGCTAACATGGCACTCCGGGCCTGATTGAGCACT